GATCCCTATTATAAGGACCCCAAAAGAAGGTACCCCAATTTTCGGAAACTCCCATGTCTCCTCTACGAGTTGAGGCATTCGGATTTTGCTCAAAGCTTGGCAGCTCACGGCTTGATCTCTCAACCGTAGCACCAACACCCCAGGAAGTTTAACACATGAAGCCGTTTAGGGTTTAGGATTTAGGCCCTAAACCTCTCAACTCTGCGCCGAAGCTATAAGCCCTAAACCCTAAAACCGAAACCCTAAACCTCTCAACTCTGCGACACCCCGGACTCTAGACCCTCAACCCTCAAAACCCCTGGACCCTATAGCCTGAGCAGTGAACCAGAAGCGCTTGAACCTATAAAGGCCTGACTGCAATATGGGTAGTTTTCTAGATTAGGGTCCCTTTTAGGGTCCTTTTTATAAGGGTGCCGTACTATATTGGGGACCCAAAAAGGGAGCCTAATTTAGAGAACTACCCATATATTAAGGTCGGGTTCATTACTAGTAATGTACCGTAAGTTCCTGCTTGATGCCTTAACTAACCCTATGCTTCCAGGGACCTTATTATTGGGTCCTGAAGGTGTCTAGGGCCCTAACTATAAGGGCCTTGGAAGCATAGGGTAATAACTTCTTTATCCTAATCTTCTAGTACGTCTTCATGTGCCTTGTGCAAGGTGTGGAGGCACTAGCGTTACCTTTGGGGCAGCCGGTGCTTTGCCCGAAGGGTGTTTCAGGTGCATTGGGGACTCTTGATTTATCAACCCCCATTCTTCAGGGTCGTAATTTAGTCGGAGCCCTATGATGGTCCCTTGTTCAGGTAAGCGGGTGGTATTTAGCAGGGGCCTGCATTGTTGAGGATGTAAGGTCGTTTATGAAAGGATTTCCGTGTGAGGGTCAAGGGATCGTCTTTTCATCTAGGGTTTGAGGATTGAGTATTCCTTGTTACATATAGCCTTCAAGTAGTTCCTTGTTACGGTTGAGCCTACCTGGTTTTGAATGAGAGGATCCCAACAACCGAACAAGCTGACCATGAAAGGAGTTACATTGAAGAGTCCAGGCATGGTTCAGGGGTTGGGGTGGTAGAGTTCTTGTTGCCGTTGGTGCTTTCATTGTATTTAATGATGACGGTTTAGGGTTTAGGGTTTTAGGGTTTAGGGCTTGTCCCCAGAACGCAGTTGAAGATGCCTGTTGCTAAAGGCTGGTTGATGGAATGCTCAGGCGCTGCTTCTTGCGTCCAGGAAGAGGAATATTGAAACAAAATAACAGAGATCACGGCTTTTACAAATCGAACATGTCTGGATACGGGTCGGCAAACGAGTCTAAAAGGGCACTGGCACGGCCCTTTGCGTGCTGAGACTTTCGTTTCTTTGCGAAGGTTCTGGTTGTATCGTTTTTGCTGCCAGAGGTCTGCGCTGGCAAGGTCAGGCCTTTGGGCTTCGGAGGGATTAGGATTAGATTGTAATCAGCCTGTGGATGTAGGGTGGAACTCCAGGCAGGATAGAAACACCAATCCCAATGAGATCTTGCCGATCCATGTGGGTGGTTGTCAAAATTATGGTCCCGTTTTGGGTCCTTATTATAATACGGCACCTATTATTTAGGGTACCCCAAAAGGGACCATAATTTTGACAACTACCCATGTCATGGATTGTTTCAGGGTTCAGAGTATACTTAGACTGTAGAGTTCGGAGTCTGGCCTCTCGACCCCTAGCTTGCAAATCATGTTCAAACCGAGCCAGCCACACCATACCCCTAAACCCTAAACCCTAAACCCTAAACCCGAAACCCTAAACCCTAATCCTAAACCCTAAACCCTAAACCCCTAAACCCTAAACCCTAAACCCTTGCCGCTGCAGCCCAAAGCCTGCGAAAGCTACCGCCCCTGCAGTTTGGCCTTCATCCCCAGGTCTAAAGGAGTTTGTAAGCTAAGTAAAGATGTCTACAGAGTTTAGGGTTCAGGGGTTTAGGGGTTTAGGGTTTAGGGTTTAGGGGTTTAGGGTTTAGGATTCAGGGTGGTCCTAAAACCCTAAACCCTAAACCTTTCATGATGTTGTTGGGCTAAGGCCATCTGAGTAGGGATGAGGAAGTGCACAGGCTTGGAGCTCAGAGTGATTGTGCTGCCAAACCTTTCATGATGTGGTGGGGCTAAGGCCATTTTGCATGCGACGTCGGAATGGTGGGAGCTCCGAGCAGCGGTGTTGAAGGCGATTGAATGGGCTCACGCCTAGGGGTTGATCCTTGCCGATTCTGACCCTAAACCCTAAACCCTAAACCCTAAACATCACCGGTATGGTATTACAAATAGCAGAATAAGTATTGGTTATCGCACGAGCAAACATGATCGTCAGAAATGGCAACACCAAGCACAACAAGCGCAAGACTGGGAATATGGGAGCCTAAAAAGAGTTACCTACACTATTTAATTGGGGGTTGCTATGATAAACTATAGTTCTGGTATAATATAGCCTCAAAACCCTATTCTAATTATTAAGGCCCCTACATTAAAACCTTATAGTACCCTTGCTAGTAACCCTCTTAAAGGAACCCTTAAAGGAACCCTATTCTAATTATTCAGGCCTCTACATTATCGGTCTCTCATGGACCTGCGGTCTGATGTTGATTCCTGACGACGTGCCGGTTCCCCAAAAGACACCTCCAATGGGTCCCTTTAAAGGGTACCGTGCCCGCTTCCTTTAAGGGCGGTCTCCCTCTGTGTCTCTGTCTCTCCCTCTCTCTAGCTCTCACTCTCTGTCTCTATCTCTCTCTCTCTATCTCTCTCTTTCTCTCTCTGTCGGTTTCTCAGCGGGTCCAGTTGCCGTGTCCGAGACTAAACCCTAACCCTAAGCCCTAAACCGAGATTGTTGTGGGTATGACCGGCTCCTTCCTCTCTTCCGAAATCCGGAGTTTGGATGTTCAGGTTGCTTCACATCGAAATCCGCGGGACTGATAGCTTTGTAGCTTTACTAAGTGTATCGTGTAGGGCCTTTGCCGCCTTGGCGTTTCTATGTTGAACTACTCCCGGGGTCCTGCGTAACTCAAATATGAAGACCGAAGCGGGAAACTAGGCTTTAAACCCTCGCAAGAACAGATACCCACAAATCAGCCCATCTTCAGAAATGATTTGTGTGTGTGTTTCTGGTGTTGTAGGCGGGTGTTGGAAGGGCTTTTCTGAGGATGGGGTAAGGGTGTATGCCTTCCGAAATCCTAAACCCAGCCTACAATTGCTTGAACCTGCAAGCCCTGACCCTAAGCCCTGGCAGTCTCAATGCCCTCATCCCAAATTCCAAAATCCTAATTAAAGTAGAAGCCAGAAAGTTTGGAATTTCATTACCCCCAAGGCTTTTAAAGTATGTCATGGCCAACCCCAGCGCTAATCATCCTAAATGCGTTTCAGAAGCAGCTTCTTATTGGAGTACATCATCCACCCTGAAGCCACAAGTCTCACTCAACACATGACGCATGTGAACATGTAGCCTCGCCTGGAGTGTCCGAATTGTGGGCACCGAAAACCTAAGCTTCTATGCCCAAATACCAGTCACCCTCACACTCGACAGGTCGTCGGAGAGAATTTCTTGATGGACTCCAAGCCCTACATGACCCTTGCCTTCATTCATCGGGTTTTAACCTTTAAGAGTTTGGGGGTTTCGGGTTTAGAGTTGAAGCATGCCCGCCACAGACTGGGGAGGAAAATCTTGTTCGGCGGGCCTTCTAGCGGGGTCCTATTACCCGTGCTTACTGGCAAATCTAATGTAGGGGCTTAACTGTAGTTACCAATACTATTTTGCAGGTTCCTCATTATACTTATAGTAGAATGGGCCCCAAGACCTTTTTCTAATTATGAAGGCCCCTATAACTATATTAGACACGACCACTCCAAATTCATCAAATCCTGGCCCTTCGAATCCGAAGCTAAAAAACTTACACCCTAAATGCACCCCAAACCTAACCACTAAACTTACGTAAAAACCCTCAACACCCTCAACAATGACAGCTACCCTAAGTTTCCTGAAGCTTTCGTGTTGGTTTTTCGGGTTCAGGCGTAAGAGCCAGGGTGGCGAGGGCATGAAGGCTGGAAGCTCTTCCTTCTGATGCTTCTTCTGTCATTGAGGTTCAGAGTCTAAGGGTGGAGCTCAAGCCGATTCGGCTGGGATGCCGGTTTCAAGCTTGGGTGGTTCAACTAAGAGTTGTGGTGCCCCATGAACTATGGAACTGCGATTCCTTTTCTAGTCAGGTTTGCAAGCAGAAGCAACTGGAGTCAGAGTGGGCCTTTTCGCGTGCTTTCCCTCGTTTCAGATGTATGGACCCGGGAGAACGCACAAAGGCCTACCGGACTTGCAGAACTGAAGCCCTTCTGTAGAACTTGAAACTTGGCGAATTGACAAAGCTACACACATCCGCGTATCGCCTGAGGAAAGCTTGCGCTGGCGGTGCTTTGTCACTTCTGTGCCTTTGGCTCCGAAGAGTTAGCTGCAACCTCTTCGGAGCTTTGCGTAGACTCTGCTGCATGATTGGTATGGGTATTGAGGCTACGTACTCTTTGGTTGGAAGACCTTGGCAATCAAATTCAGAAGTATGTCAAGCTAGATCGTTGAAAGGGCTCCTAGGTCCTGCCGCTTTGGAACCCTGAGGCTTAGTAAGGTATATATCTGGGTTTAGGGCTTAGGGAATTTTTTCAGGCCCGTATATTATTCATGCTACGACGTCGGGAATGACCGGCCAACAAAGGTCTCCAAAACCATTAGACTAACGTCACTAAGTCCTCTGAGCTTCCAAGGACAACTTGAGCCCCTTTACAGAACTCTTGTAAGCCGCCTTCCAAAGACCCTAACTCCCACAAAAAACCCTAAACCCTAAGCCTAAACCCTAAACCCTAAACCCTAACCCTAAACCCTAACTCCCACAGAATGTCGGGTTTAGGCTTCGAGCTCTGAGGAACAAAGGTGAGGGCAAAAAGTCGAAGAAGCTGGGCCTTGATCAAGGACTCCCTCGGATCCTGGCTGCTGCTGTTGACTTTCGTACCTTAAGAACCCAAAGCCTACTTTTTTGTAGGGTCCCTATAAATCCCATATTAGGGTTTATAATAAGAACCTACAAAAAAGTGGGTGTTGGGTTCTCAAGGTAGAGCTACCATGAAACACGGTAGGGATTTCGAAGTGTTTTTCATGGGGGGGGTTCAATATGCACCTTTGGGGAACATCGAGTTGTTGCTCCAGCCTCCTACTCTACTACATAAGCCCGGTTCTACAGGGATTATTTAGGTTCTCCGCTAGTAGCCCGTATATCATTTTTGGCGGGGTGCCCTGCTTATTGAGGGAAGACCGTGCAGAACCTGAAGTGTCTAAGCTGCACCGGTTACCCAGCAGCTAAAGTTTCTGTTAGGTAAGTTTTGTCGGGGATTACTGGGTGCCTTGGTTCAGGGTTTGCCACAGTCGTTCTGGGATGAATGTTCCGTTTTTGCATATCGGGTGTGAAACCTGTTCTAGTGTTATATATGGCTGTGTTGGCTGGCATCACTTCCGGGGTCAGCACTGAATAGCTGTTCAGCAAGATGTGGGGCGTCCACCCTGTAGGGTTAAGGTACGTGCAACCCAAAACCGTAACTATAGCAAGGCTTAGTAGGCAGGGGTGAAGCCAAAATGTATGGCGCAGGGATCTTCGATGAGCCGATAGGCGAAGGCTTTTGTCCACACGGTTCCCATAATCAAGTCTGCACGAAGTGAAGCTGCATAACGAAAAGTTTTCTGTCCAGTTGAAACCTAGACCCCTAAACCATATTGCTGTGGTCTGATTTCGTTGGCATGGCCCGAGGGATTGCAAAGCAATCGAGGGACTGTTACCTGCAGCTCAAATATCCTACGTTTTGAATCCGTTTTTTCATGTATGTGCGTATGTATATACATACATATATATATCTATATATAATGTATATGTATATATACATATATATCATACACATCTGTTTGTACACATGTAATTGAAAAGCGCCCGATTTTGGGTGACTCGATCAGGTACTATGTACAGCAGTGTGTAGCTTACATTCGATGGTACCTGCCGGGTGCAGGTGGGTTCTAGCGCTTTAGCAACCACGGGAAGCACGCTGAGCCCTAAACCCTAAAACCCTAAACCCTAAAACCCTAAACCCTAAACCGTCTATATGAACCCTAAACCCTACAACCCTAAAGCCCTAAAGCGCTAAAGCCAAAACTCAAGAAGACGACAGGAGCCGGATATGCTCCAGCTGCCCTGCCGGACGCGTTTGCAGAGATGCTTCGAAGCAGCTGTCGGGGATTCGGGTTTCAGTACACTTCAGGGCTGTGGGGTGAAGGATCTTAGGGCCTTGGGATTTAGGGTTTGGGGTTTAGGGTTGGGGGTTCGGGGTTTGGGGTTTAGGGTTTAGGGCGTGTGAGAATGTAGAGCCCCAAGGGACCCTGAAGTGGCTTCGAAATTTTTTAAATCCTAACCCTAAACCCTAAACCCTAAGCCCCCTCACCTTCATTTTGACACGCATAAATCCACTTCCCTTCAACCTTAAGTTTCAAGCCCCAAAACCCTAAACCCTAGGTTTCCGGGCTACAGGATGAGGGTGTCCGGATGATTTGGAGGCTTCGAATTCAGGACGTTGGTGGGTTTAGACGCCGTAAGTTCGGGGTTTTGGGTGTTTGTGGTTTAGGATTTAGGGCCACGAGTCGGGGCTTATGGGATACGGGATTTGGGGTGATGGTCAGGATTCTTGGAGCACGAGTTGAAGCCCAAAGGCAAGTTTCAACGAAGACCCAGTTGAATCGACTAGGCTGCTTGGGCATGTTTACGTAGAAGTACAAGAGAAGGGGATGTGGGGGAATCGTACTTCTTGTGTACAGGGCCTGTGTGAGTATACTAGTCAACTTGGGCAGACATGGGCAGGTCCCCCTTGATGAAATTCGATCCTCTTGGAAGACGACAGAACATGTGATATTGTTGGCCCCTAGCACTCGACCCGCTTTTTTTGACATCGGGTTCGCCGAACAGCATTACTCGAATCATTAAGTCTCTCATGCTACCGGGATGAAGCCGGTTTGGGCCCAATGCCGACAGGCGGAGTATTGGTGATTCAGATGAACGAATCAGTACGGGTATTCCTCAGTCAGGCCGCGATGTTAAACCACATAGTAGCTGTACTTCTCAGCCTGACTATTCCGGCCCTTTCTGTCAGACAACAGTGGATGTTTCGAGGCTGTTTTCGAAAAGACTTTTCGGGGTTTCCTTAACCCCCCAAATTTCCTTACTCTACATAGGAGCTTTCTGATTCGTTTTGTGAACCCTAAACCCTAAACCCTAAACTCTACATAGGAGCTTTCTGATTCGTTTTGTGCAGTTGTCTTTCTAGGCTAGCAAACCATTGGGCTGGCGACTTCGGCAAGGTACTAAAAGGGCTTGAATAATCAGTAGTTAGTTATTAGGGTTTACGGTTTAACTTATTAGTTTAAGATTATTCGGATTACAACTATGGTGGTGACTTTCCCGAGTCTGATTCTGAAGGCTTCTGTGTTGGAGCAACCTTTGATTCAGCGCAGGGGTTAGAAGCGTGCAGGGTTGCTTTCCCGTTTGCAACATCTTTTGTTCTGGCTGGCTTTCAAAGGTAGGGCTGAGGGCTGCCTGGATTCGATACCCGGGCGTCGCATTGAAGTTTCGTGTCTACTCGAAGAGCCCCATTGTGGTGAGTCTTTGAATCGGTACTGTACCGAGCAGCCTGCCAGCAGAAACTCACACGTCAGCCGCATTTTTGCACATACATATACATATATATATATATATATGTATATATATATATATATCTCTCTCTCTCTCTCTCTGTCTCTCTCGTTTCTATATGCAGTTTTTCTGTAGCAATGCGCGTTTGCCCCTTGAGCAATACCATGTCGGAGATCCGCTCTACAAGGAGGACCTATGTCCTAGAATTCGGCAAGAGCAACCGACAGCAGAAGTAAATTCAACCAGAGTAGAGAGTTATCGAACGCAGTATGAATCAAGCAAACTCGAACAGCACCCGAAACCTGAACCCTAAGCCATAAACCCTGAGCCCAAACCGAAACCCCTACAGACTATAGGGGCCTGAAGATTTACCTATATTATTTTGGCGGGCTCCTTATTATAATTGTAGTATCATATACCCCAAAACCCCATTCTAATTATTCAGGCCCCTACGTTATAGTTTAGCCCCTAAACCCTAAACCCTAAACCCTAAACCCTAGCCATTTGAAGGATTGCTGCCAAGCTGGCGGCACGCGTGTGTCACTCCTGGAGCCTCGCAAGTGAGGCCAAGGACCCAGAAATGCCTTGGGCTTCGGGTGAGGGATTTAGGGTTTAGGGTTTAGGGGTTTAGGGTTTAGGGTTTAGGATGTTCGGGTTTAGGGCCAGGGGTTAAGGGTCTAGGGTTTAGGTGTTTTCGGGGTTTAGGGTTTAGGGATGTTTACGGGTTAGGGGTTAAGGGCTTGGGGTCACGGAATGTCACGGAGTCAGTAAGTGTTTTGGAGGGTTCCGCTATAGATTTATAGCACGGTTTACTTCGCCCCCTGCAATCGGGATTGAGGTTGGAGGCATCGAGGATATGAGGGTCTTTCGGGCATGTATACACGGCGAAGGGCGGGCTGTAGGAAATCAACACCAGTGTCAAAACCCAGACTCCCAAAAGGATCTAAAAAATAGATCCCCCAAGGGGGTTCCTATAAAGTACCCTTTAGTAGTTAGGGTCCCTACTTATTTTGGGGGTCTGGGAACAGGTTTGGCTGTTAGGGATATCAAGATCGGTTCTGGATGTAGGTGTTCGAGTGCTTAGAACTTGAAGGATAGAATTCGACACCCTCCTCCAACAGCTTCGGGCTAAACCCTAAACCCTAAACCCTAAACCCTAAACCTGGGTGCTTGGGGTTAACACCCCAACAGCAGACCCTCCAGGGGTTTATAGGCAGAGGTTTACGCTGGTCCAGGCATGGGGCTCAAGGTTTAAGTTTAATGTAGGAGCCTAAATAATAACCTATACTATTTTGGGCAGTTTTGGGGGCTCCATTATAGTATACTGGGCCCAAAAAACCCAATAGGGCCCCTACTTTAAGACTCCACGAGTTGTAAACACATCCTAGCAATTTGCAGCAGGGTCCAAGTCCCTGGATATGCCTAGTTATTGGTGCACGTGTCGGAGCATTTAAGACAGGGTGGAGTTGAAGACATACCCCGAAGTGTCCAAGGAGAGCCAAAGAGCATGTATTTTCTAGCTCATAAACCCTAAACCCTAAACCCTAAGATGTTCAAAGCTCTGATGCGTAAGTCCTTACGCCTCGAAGGGTATAAGGCATTATGAGCTGCTACACGGACCAGGATCAGTCTTTGGGCGCTCCTTTGCACCGTGATTTCTGCTAGGACCTACAAACCGACTACTGAATCCCAGACCCCCAAAAGGATCTAACAAATAGATCCCCTAATTAGGGGCCCTAACTACTAAAGGGGACTTTATAGGAACCCCCTTAGGGGATCTATTTTCTAGATCCTTTTGGGGGTCTGGGATGACAGGCCTCCGGTTCTGCTCTTTTCGGGGGCCTTAGTAACTGGAGCAGGGTCTTATAATAGGTCCTGTCCTTCCTGGGCTATGTCAGCCTTATGAGTTTAACGGAGAGGGGCCTTATGATATGGCTCCCCCGATCATTTCCGTCGTTTTTTTCCGATATGGGAGTTTCCGAAACTAGGGGACCCTAATATAGTACCCCAAATAGTAGGATCCTTATAAGGACCCCAAAATAAGGTACCCCTTATTTTCGGAAACTCCCATGTGGGATTTTGTTCCCTTTTCGGGCTCGGTAATGGACAGTCCTCGGACTCCCCCTGGGCGCTAGCTATATTAGGGTTTAGGGGTTTAGGGTTTAGGGGCTATAGTCTTCGGCGCACTCGCAGGACTGCTATCTGTGCGTTTCCTCTCCTGCTTTGTTCCTGTGCCCCACGTGCTATGTCTGCTATGTGTCCTCGTTCCTCTCCTGCCTCCTCTCACGTCGTCTTCGCTGAGTAGCTCGCCGCTCAATTCGCCTTGCTGGGCCCTCGCGTGAAACCCTAAACCCTAAACCCTAAACCCTAAACCCTAAACCCTAAACACTTTGTTGTCTTTATGGTTCGACCACTTGCTCTGAGGGAGCCTAGTCCCAGACCCCCAAAAGGATCTAAAAAATAGATCCCCTAATTAGGGGCCCTAACTACTAAAGGGGACTTTATAGGAACCCCCTTAGGGGATCTATTTTCTAGATCCTTTTGGGGGTCTGGGGAAGCAACTCAAACAGCCGTCTAGGCCCCTTTAGGGCCCGCATCACAAGCTGTCATAGACAGAAGTTCGACCCCTCCTCCAAGTCCAAGCCTACACCCTAACACAGCAATCCCTCTCTCTCTATTTATAAATAAATAAATAAATAAATAAATAAATATATATATATATACACACATACATACACATCTGCACATGTTGAACCCCTAAGCCCTGAACCCGAACTCTTTCGAGGATGGTTCAGATGCTGCTTTCACCCAGAAGAACTTGGAAAAGCTCACGACGCAGTCCGACCGGCAGCTTGGAATTTGTGTTTCAGTTTCAGAGGGTCAAGTCATAAGGCTTCGTTGCAGCTGAATAGGTAGCCTTTAACCTTTTGGGGCTTATATAAACCTGACATCGTTGAGAAGGTAAACCTTTTTTTGCGTTGCGGTATTCAGATTCAGCCCTAAAGGCCTCAGTACCCTGCTTTGGTAATCTGGTTGCGAGGTTTAGGGCTCGGGGTTTTGGGTCATGGTTTAGGATGATGTATAGGGCTTATCAGGCTCAGGGATTATAATCCTAATTAGGTCTCTTGGTTCAGGGACTCATCTGCTGGCGTTCTCATGTGCATTGTTTCGTGATGATTGCACTGTCCAGACACGGCAGGAGGGTTTCGAAAGGATTTCGGGTTTAAAGATAAGGATCCACAGCACCGCCAAGTGTTTATTGCGGCTCAGAGCGGATGCCCTTATCTGTCTTTGCCCCACAGCCGGGAGCGCGGTTGTGTGGCTGCATCCTCTTTAGGTTTCGGGCTCCGGCCTCCGGGTACGCTTACTTCAAGGCTATGCGTTCGACTAGGCAGCGCTACGTTTTGGCACGCTCCAATCAATACACGAGATTTGGGCCTCATTGCCATTATACAGAAATTTCTTTGGTAGTTTGAGGTAAGGTTTAGGGGTGCTAGGGTGCAGTGTGGGTCAAGGGAAAAGCCTTTCTGTCTCATGTCTGACTGTCATCCTGCACACATCTATCGCGCAGGATCCTGTGGAAGTTCCTGTAGAATCTCGGCTCCAGCTGACCAATGTGTCAAGCAGCCAATCAGGAGCCAAAAGTGCTCCTGCATGCAAAAAACAGCTCACCTTCCCGATAATGGCAATCGGGATCAGTGCGATAAGTGCGATACTTGTTGCTGTCGCTGGCTGCTTTGCAGGGGCGTGGAGTTCGAACAAGTGCCTCGCCTCGAACCAAACCCTGGGGCTCCAAATAGCCCAAAGTAGGTACTATTTATAGACTTTAGACCCCAAAGTAGGTACTATTTGTATACTTGGAGCCCTAGGGAAAATGCCCTTGACGTGAGCAGAGTCGGAAGGATTGGTGTTCAACTTTGGGCTCAGGGGTCCAGGTTTGTCGTCGGAAAGAGCTTACCCTAAGGGTCCATGTATCCATATAGCATATACTTAGGCCCCAAAGTACCCATATAGGAACTACATTAAGGCCAATGTATATAATATATGAGTACATGGACCCTTAGGGTTAGTGTTCAAAGCTTCAGGGTCTAGGGGGGGGGGGGGAAATTTAGGGTTTAGAGTTTACGGATAAGGATTCATTCCACCGGATGTTTGGGCTTGCTCCAACAGACCGCAAAAACCCTAAATAGCACTAGCATAGCTCCCACTGCAACAAGAACAACTACTACTACTACTAGTACTACTACTGCTGCTACGACGGCTGCTGCTGCTACTTCTACTAGTGCTACTGCGACTCGAACCATGGTTTCTGCTGTAACTGCGGCTCATATTCATGCCAACCCCCATGGCGATGCCAACAACCGCGGCATCTACTGATTCTCACGTATTGCGCGTCGTGGTTTGCGTATCATGGCGCGGAAGTCGTGTTGAGCGTTTTCCGCATAGTGTGCTCTTCCTGAACTTGACTTACATCCCGGTGTGTTCTTGGTCTTATGGGTAGTTGTCAAAATTATGGTACCCGAAATACCCTAAATAATAGGGGCCGCATTATAATAAGGACCCAAAAANNAGGGACCATCATTTTGACAATCACCCTTATGGCACTGGGTTCGGGGTGAAACACTCCATCACAATGACACTTTCATGCTCAGGTTCCCAAAGTCCTGTCAGCATGGCGGAGAAATGTCGCTGGGCAGCAACATCGCCGAAGCAACAGTATTCGCAACTACTCACACTTTTTCCAGAAAACCTTTGTTGATGTTGAGGTGCATAAGCTCAGGCCACCACACATTTAATACTCAAGGTAGCCACTGTACAGCATGCCCTATATACCTTCAAAACATCCAGCCCTTCTTCACCTGTGGTCTTCGGCAGAGTTTCTGGTTCACGGTATCGAGTGTTGAGGGCTGACCTTGGATCGTCGATCCGCTTGGCCGCAGACAGGTGCCGTTCGGATGGAGAAGTCGGTGACACCAATGCATTTTTGCAGCATCAATGGTACCGGCGAGTTCGTCAACGCCGCCGCCGCCGCCGCCCCGGCTTCCATCGCCACCGCCGCTTCCATCCTCTGTACCACGGAAGGTATTATGGGGCTCCTTGGCTGATTTTCTTGGAGTAGGTGCCTGATGAATTTGCATCACTACTACTCTTGTACATCCATGGCCGTTCCTACAGATGTATAGGCAGGAGATCAGAACATGCAGGCCTCTCTGCAGCTCTAATTACTTAGGAGACGGGTTATCCTTAGCTTCTTGCCCTCTCCTTTAAACACGCCAAGACAAAGCCATGCATCAGACATACATACGTACATACAGACA